TTAGAGAGCTGGGTTGGTCAAGCTTTATCTTCCTATTGAAGGTTTGTTAACGAGTTCCATTAAAAAAGCAAATTTTGGGAACGCTGGACGACAGTGGCGTGCTACACTATTTTATAGCCCCTCACTAATATAATATTAGGTTCAGCTTAAAATTTGTTTTGTTTATATTTTTTTAGTGAGTGAAATTACAAATTTTAGAGGGTTGGTTCATCAAGTTTTATTTTGAGGGTTAGCTGAGTTACATGCCCTTCTACTTTGTAGCCCCCCACTAATATAATTCTATTGAGTTCATCACAATATTTTTCTATTTTATCGACGTTGTTACAATAAGAAGTTTTAGGAAATTGATGGATCAGGAAACATTGTTTTTTTATCAAGGTTTAACAGGTAAAATAACAAATTTCGGTGATGGGTTGATAAAAAATTGTATTCTGATTTTTTGGAGGGTGGAATTAGAAATTTTTGAAGTATTGGGTTGATTAACAAGTTTTATCCTTTTATTGAGACTTTATTAGCAAATATAATTAGCAATACAAAGTTTGGAAACGTTGGGTAACGCGCCATTCAATTTTTTAGTCCTAATATTACAAAATTTTGGAGAACTATTGGTTAGTCAACAAGTTTTATTCTTTTATTGAGGGTTACAATTAGATACAATTAGAAATTGTGTAGAGAGTTGAGTTGGTCAAGTTTTATGCTTTTATGGAGGGTTCACTAGGAAATACAATTAGAAGCACAAAGTTTGGTAATGCTAGGTGGCAGTCACGTGCCCCCTAATTTTATGGTCCGCCATTAATATCCTATTGGTTTCACCACAGAATTTATCTTTTTATTGATATTTGTTAACAGGTACAATTACTAATTTAACGAATACTCTGCTACAATTACGAAATTATGAAATTTTATCATATTAGAGCTAAGAAATATATGGATGATTTTAAAGGGGAAGTCCACATATGAATATATGATGCTACATACAGGGTATATAAAAAAGGTCGAAACCCTTGAATATTTCGAAAAATATAAATTTTATCAAAAAAGTTGTAGGGTTTAAAAAGTTCTATTTACTGGCAATATCATTTTGACCTTGAAGAGTCACTGGAAGGTCACTTCAATTTTTTTAAATGGACCCTATATATTTTTGCATATTGTAGCTTACCTCGGGAGCTTTCTAAAACACTCTGACAAAGTATTTTTTGATTAAAAACTTTCTGAGTTATTAAGGTTTGAAATTTGCAACAATTTTGACAAATTACAAAATATTCATTTTTCAATAATCTTACCCTAATACTTTTATGCACAGAATAACGAGATAAATTGACTGGCGTAAAGAAAATACAGAATTGTTTAAAAAAAAAAGTAAATAAATTTTCAAACAATTTTTTTTAATGTCAGATAGAATTTTTCAACTTATAACAACACAAGGAGGCCCTACAAGATATTAAAATCATATTTATGCGTATATATTTGACATTTATTTACATGGTGCTATAGTTATGCAACGATGAAAAATCAATTTTTATATTATACTTTCTTATGTAGTAAAATAATATCAACAAATTTTTACTGAAGTTCATCGTTCACTATCCCCTTCAATTTCATATGGATGATTTTCATGTATTGTTATTCCAAAGTCAGAGTCTACTAAAAATGGACTTCCAAGGCATACAAATATCGAAAAAGACTCGAAGTAAGAAAGCTTTCAGTTCGATATCCCCGTGTCCTAATTGTAAGGGGTCGCATTAATATTCGTAGAAACATCTAAATTCTATCCGATCGACGAGCCAGAGGTGGAGCCATCTTCCACCGTCGAAGTCGCCGGAATTACCCAGCCCTGTTGGCTCCTCTGTTTTCGAATTCCGGTCAGGTACGTCCACATCGCCGTTCTCCAGCTTGCTAGCGTGGTCCGCGGCATACTTGCCTGACTCAATTATTACTTGCTACTTCTTGTTACCCGCTGTTTAAGTTGCTTCGATCCTCTTCTCGCTATTCTAGTCAGTCGGGCCAGCCTTCTCTTTAGCTGCCAATAAGGGATGCTCGATATAGCTCTTTGCGAATATTCGCTATTAACCTTTGTTTCATTCGGGGCGTCAGGACTAACTGATCATAGCTATGATGTTAAAATAGAGGAAGAAGATTCAAATTTTATGTCAATTTTATATTCAGCTATCTTTGATTGTGGTTATTTATCTAGCGGTTGGTTAGGAGTGGTCAGTTGGAGTGGAACTTTCAATGGCGACGTTAAGTAGGGGAGATATGGGGCAAGGATTACAAAAGGGCGGGAAATATGAATTTTGTATTGCATGGTACAGGTCAATTACAATATTTAGCTGAAAATGACAAAGTTTCATAGTTCTACCATCGTAATAATAAATTTCAAAATTTCCTGAATCTAAAATTACAGAATTACGTCGGAAAAAAATACCTAGCCTAAAAATTACAAAGTTGCAAAGTTTCATAATTCTGTTACAATAAAGGAAATTTTCAAATATTCCCTAGACCCTAATTTTTAAATTTAATAATTCTACAATTCTGATAATAAATTTCAAAATTCCCAGATTTAAAATTCCAAAATTTTTGTCTAAGATGTTTAAAAATTCCCTAGCTTCGAACTTACAAAATATAGTAATTCTAAGATTATAATAGTAAATTACAATATTCCCTAGATTTAAAGTTCCGTCGTAGAAAATTAAAAAATTCCCTAGCCCAAAAGTTACAAAATTTAATAATTCCACCATTATAACAGTAAATTACAAAATTCCCTAGATTTCAAATTACAAAATTCCGTCAAAAAAATTGAAAAAATTCCCTAGCTTCATAATTACAAAATTTAATAATCCTTCCACTGTAATAATAAATTGCAAAATTCCCTAGAT